TTATACTGATAGTAAAGTTATTTTTTCCAAAGCTTATTCAGCTCAGCAGGAACCAGAAGCTCAGCAAGGGAAACCTAAATCAGCCACAGGGGAGAAGCACTAAAATAAATAGCCAACATCGACAATAAAAGTCAAAGGTGGGGAGGAAGGAGGCATTCTGTTTCTTGTCCATCAGCAGCCAGCTACATAGATGTTCCTATAACTGCATTATTTTTATAATGATAAGAGTTTTAAATTGCAGAGATATTTTAAAGAAGCATTTCTACCAAAGACAAAAAATTAATGAAGTCAGTAAATTCCACTACTAAATTTTACAGTCTCATACAATCTATATTTTAGAAAAGGTTCTTCAAAATATTCAAATAACATGGTGTCAAGCAATTGACCTCTTCTTATTCCTAGAAATACACATCATAGGTACAGTTTCAGATATGTGAAGCATCATCCATTTCTGACTGCAATTTGCCAAGTAAATTGGTTATTTGTAGAAGAGATTAAAGACTGATGAACAAATTATAACTTCCTAAACAATATTACAGGTAACTTAATGCATGCAAACACTTATTATGGGCAAAGTAGCTGATAACAGGAGGAGCTTTCCTTGTATTGTGAAAGTAGAAGGCCTGAATACCCAGTTGGAGTATTGCTGGACAAGTGTACTCAGACTAATCTGTCTTGCTGACATCAGGTTAAAATATGTTTATTTAGTAAGAGGCCTTACCATAGTTTTTCCTCCTTAATTAATTTCTGTTGTTTTTTTACACTTTGCCTGGAGTTCAGTCAGTTCATCCAGAATTTGAATGGTCCTGTATTTGCATACGTCCAGTTAGGAGAATTAAACTTGGGTGCCATTGGCTAAGTATGGTTAAAAATACAACTTTTATTTAGATTTAAATATCTTTATACTTTTGATGTAGAATTGAGCATCAATTCTACATCAAAGTAAGATGCAACCTTCAGAAAAAGTGGTGAAACAGTCCTCTGAATATTTAAAAGATTTTTAATACAAAAATAATCAATAGAGAAGGCAAAGTTGCATTAAAGCATTTAGCCTAAAAAGTACTCAATTACTCAATAACTTCAACATTTATATTGGTTAGTGGGAAATAAAGTTTGCTAGGGTGATCTGAAGAGTCTTTCAAGACTCTGAAAGATTGACTTTCACACATTAAGCCAAGTATTTGTACTTGTGTAAGCTAAGTTTGGAAAGATAATATTTCTGTGTCTTGGTGAAACCCACAGCTCAAGTTCAGATCACTGCTGAATAGGAATGAAGAGTTGATCCACACAAACACTCTGCTTGCTTCCTTGCCTGCTTCTGGTTATTTTATACATAACAAAACTTTTGATAATCTTTTAGAAGATCTTCAGCACAAAGTGTCTATGAGGCAGGGATGGGAAGATGACAGAGGAGAAGAACTTTCATAATGTATTGCTCTTCTGACATCATAAAATTCTGTATAGAATTCTGTGTAGAGTTGTGCTCATTCCATTTTTCCATTTTTCTTTATTGAATGAAAGTTAGGACAAGGGTGGAATGAAGAAAATATAGGACAGGACGCAAGAATATCAAATGGGTTATACATATATACGATACTAAGTTCCTTCTGTCCTCTACTGATAGAAACTTATCTTCTGATGTATAAAAGGAAGTGTAAACATTTATAATATACTCCAGCTAACAAAATATATTAATAACAGTTGCTTTTAATGAATCACCATCTCAGGGGAAAAGTGATGTTTAACTGACATAAATTTTAGAGATAGTGTATATGTTAGTAATCTGTCTCATAATCTTTCAGTTCCTTAGAAAAAAAGCAAGACATCTATTTTCAAATCCAATATTTCAATACAGCATTATTGGACAAAGTCTGTATTTCTATAACAGATCTTGTATGTTCTTTACTCTGTATTTGCCTGTGGCATGTAAAGCAGACTTTATCTCCCATTTCATTTTTTTCTAATTGATTTAAATCCATTAAAATATCTCACATTGATTTTCTACCAACTTCACTGGAAGTCTGAATGTATCACTTCCTTTATTTGAAAGATAATATTAATTTAGGCACTGATTTATGCTTTGGTCACATAAGCTCCAAAGTACTTTCCCCCACCTCATTTGCTTAAAAAAATGAACTCAAGGAAACTTCAGTCCTATGAGAAAATTTCTATTCCTGCTTTTCTTCTTTGTAATACACTGAAAGGAAGCAGAAGCTACAGATCTCCAGCTGCAGCTTGGAGGATTTCCTCTAAGAGTTCTAATATTCTAATTCCAGAGAAAGAAACATATTTTTTCCTGCTAAGCTGGATGACAAAACTAAAGAATTAGATAAGTACCCAGCTTTCATTCTTCCTGCTTTGTCTTCTTTTTTTTTTTTTTTTTTTAGGGAGTGGTGGTGGTGTTTTTTTTAAGGTTAGGGGATTTTGTTTTGATTTTTATTGTTGTTTTTTGTTCGTTTGTTTTGTTTTAATCCACCTATTACTCTGCTTTACAATGAAAAAAAAAAAAAAAAGAATTCATTAGTCTTTCTCTGAGCTGCTTTAGTAATTCAAGAATCTGTTTATCTCCTGACATCAATTGAGTTGCTTATCAATTAAAACTGTAATGTCTTTACAGCATTTTGAGGGATCAATAGATACATCAATGAATCTGTAGCTTGCCACTGCTTTATTTTGAGACTGTTAACCACTTACAATACCCACATATGCACAAAAAAAGTTTAAATTAAACAGAATTTGACTAGGAATGGAAAAATCTCACCTCAAGCATGAAAAAAAAAAAAAGAAAAAAAGAAAAGGAAAGAAAAAACTACAGAAAGCTGCAAATAACTGTTGAAGATGACTTCCAAACATGGTGGTTTATTTCTGGATCAACTGCTGTTTATGTTGTATCTTATTATATCGATAAAATTGATAAACATTCATCTATTCCACTTTTCATCATCTGGAAAGGCAAATGGGAAAAAAAAAAAAGTAGCCCAGTAGCCCAAAATGGTAGAATCAGTTTGTAACAACAACGTAGCAAGGAAGTAGAAACTAGTAATGGGTACATTTTAGAATAAGCATCTTTATAGATTTAAACTGAGTTCATCTTTATATGCTGCCATTTAAGACTTTCTAATTATTTTTTCCTATTAGTTTTCCATAGGTTTTCATTTTCTTCTTTTTTTTTTTTTGTTAGAGAACTCTCGGGTCAAACTCTTTTCTCATCTATATTACTGTAAATCTGGAATAAGCCCTTTGCATTTAATAGAATTAATCTTTATTTATTTCAGTTAGTCTAAGAACAGAATATGACCCTTTTTCTTCACCAACAACCAAACTGTCGTTAATTTTGAAACCACGCTAAGTTATGCCTAGGTAGAAAAAAAGACTCCAAAGTTTGAATAGACTAAGTTTGTTTATTAGGAAAAGACATCTGCTAAAGAGAACAATGTTCTGCCTTCCTACATTGAAAGGCCTGAGATTTTAAATTACCTGCCAAACAGAATCTAGCTCAAGATGCCTCATGAGCAACCTGACCACGCGATGGGAGAAAGAGTTGTTTTTATATTGTATCTTCCTAATGGTAATCACCAAGGAAAACTTTGAGCTATGCCCAGAGACAGCTGTGTGGTTTGCTGGTAACAAGATTCAGCCGTCCTCCAAGTTTTCTTTAGTGTCTGCTGCCCAACAGCAGCATGAGCCCTGGCATAATGTCATGGCTATTGCTGTCTGTGGTCCCTAACACAGACCCTCAGCTGTATGAAATATTCTTAATGATCAGAAGGCAGTCAAAATGTAGTATTAAGGGGACAGAAAATCAAATGCAATGATGATTTTTGGAAGAAAAATTGTAGATTTTTTTTTTGATTTTGAACTGTTTATACACTGCATTTTATCTTCATTGTTTCTCCTCTCATTTTTCTTTAGTTTCTATGTACCTTGTTATACTTTCCAGTCCTCTTTCCAAGCAGATTGTAAGAGTTGTCAGTATAGAAAAAAAAATGTTATCAGCATAATTGTGAGATACAATTTTCGTAGCCAGTACAGTGGGGAATAACCATTTTAGAAGAGGATTTTTTTGTTAACTGACTTTATGAAAGAGTTGTTGCCTACTTTCCTGAAAACTGTTCCCTTTGACAGAATCTCATTTTGGTCACCCAAAATCTGAGTCTTCCCAGGTATTAGTTAGTTTGCAAATGTAGTTTTTTTAAATAACTTTTCTTTCCTAGAGGCATCACAGTCAGACAGGAATTGTTTTATCTGCCCTAAAAATTATTTATTTATTTTCTCTGTTGCTTATCTGCTTTTAAAGCAGTCAGCACAGATAATAATGAAAATTAATTAGGAGCTCTTAAGACCTTTATAGCCAAAGGTCATATGAGTTTAAATTAAAAGGCTGCTTCCATATGAACCACCAAAGTAAACTACTCAAATAGAATCAAAACTGACAGTATGGTTGAGGTTGGATCTCCCAAGGCCACCTGGTCCAACCACTCCCTGCTCAAGCAGGTCCACATAGAGCTAGTTGCTCATGACTATGTCAAGACTGCTTCTGAATATCTCGAAGGGCAGAGACTCCTCAACCTCTCTGCGCAAGCTGTTCCATTCCTCAGTCCCTTCCACAGGAAAGTATTTCCTGGTGTTCAGGTGAAGCCTGGTGTTCAGGTAAAGCCTGCTATGAGTTTGTGCCCCTTGCGTCTTTTCCTTGTGAATGTTGTCACTTGAAATAGAAAGTCATTATTTTGGCAGTCATGGATAAACATGTCAGAATTTGGTTCTAAATAATTAAAAGCAGTTTTGTTTCAGTGGACTCTGATATGCATTTTTCCATGGAGCAGAGTATATTAGCAAATTCCTATGCAGAACTAGAAAGGAAGAGACATGCTTCTCTGTTCCTCTAACAACTACAAGGAGTGGGTTTTACAAAGATAAAAACAATAATCACAGGTCATGTTTAAAGTTTTTTTATTAATAACTTTATATTCTGAAAGTTTATTTTCTTGTTGGTGTTATAGCGGCGTCCGAGCAGATGGCCAGCAATGAAATTCAGAAGAGGATCAGGACATCCTGCATATGCTGAAGTGGAACCAGTTGGAGAAAAAGAAGGCTTCATTGTATCAGAGCAATGCTAAAATTTTTAGGACAGAACACCAGTACTGGCCTACAGGTGTAAGACATTTACTTTGCCTCTCTTTAAAGAAAAGGAGCCCTAAGCTGCTGTAGCCTAATAGAAAGAAGATTTTGGATAAGCTTTGTCCAAGAAGAAAAACTATCTAAGATACCAGATTACCACTGCACAGTAGTCTTCATTAGTGGACTGACACACAATGGTTCATGCAGAACACCTGTCAGTGGACACCTATGGTATCAGAACTATGGCACAAGTGCCACATTATTGGCTTTAGGTTTGGGGGTGCACAGTAATCAAAAATATAATAAAGCTTTGGTGCACAAGGGTATTACCCTGTGGTTCAAGTGTTCTTCTCTGGTATCTCAAAGACTGAGTGACAAATCTGTACACTTTCAGTGCAAACAGCACTGATTAATGTTCGCAGGTGATTGAGAAAAGTATCTCAGTGCAGGTAAAGAAGAAAAATAAAAGTTTTTTTCCAACATTTATACGAGCAGATGTGGAATTACAATCACTTTTCAATTCTAAATCAGCCTACCCACCTAAGTGAGCGAGTCACAATGTATGTGTTTTTCAGGAGTAGAACAATGTTTCTTGTACATTGCTGATTAATATCCTTCTAAACAACTCACAATATACAAACTCCTAAGAAATGAAGGCAATAGAGAATTTTCAGAATGGTGAAATTGTTATTTCATGGATGTTTACAATGAAATTGGGCTCATTTTCTATATCAATGTTCACTAAAACTCAATTTTACCTTTTTTTTTTTTCCTTCTTTTTCAAGGGATATCCTTCATTTCTGAGCAGTAGGCTGAAGCGGTAGGCATTTTATCTCCCAGAGATCTTATGGACCATTTCTTAGGCAATGTGATATGAAAGATGTTAACATTTTAACCAAATGGGTTTCTATTCTTTGCCATTTCATTGTGAGTCTTTCCTGAGAAGCAACACAGACTTTAATGCACCCCTCCCAGAGATTCAGATACAAGTGTTACTGAACCCTGCTGATTCATACAGTGATTTTGTTTAATGCACATAGTAGTTGCATAAATATATATAAAAATATATTTTTTTTTATAGCTAACACAAGGCGGGCTCTTGTGACTGTTAAGACTGCATTTTTGTCATCCAGACAAAGGAAATGGATTGCATTACTGCATATTTCCACTGAGTTGTAAAATAATCCTTAATACTAGAATATTTTTATGTTGTGTGGGGAAGGTGGTTCATGTAGTTGCAGTGCCATAACCTTTCTGCCTATTGGAACCATTCTTTCTTTAATATTGACACTTTCCCTCCCTGTATAGGGAAAGAAAATGCTATAAATTCACAGCATCAAAAACAGTTACTCCTTTCATGGAAGGGGTTAATATACACTGAGACCCAGATCTTCCATGCAGAGTGGAAACCTAAATACTTTGATGTTCTGGGCCTGAGCTATTAAAATACTAAATTCAGGTATTGTACTTACATTTCATTTTATTCATTGACTATCAAGCTTTTACATACTGTACAAACAGAGGCACTTGATTCATTTTAAAGTGAGGTAGACAATATTAGCAGTTTCAGATCTCAAGCAGTTAAAAAAAAGTTGTAGACACCACCTTAACAGTATAATTATTTACATTTCTTTTTGATGCTTGTTTGATCTAAATTTGATTACATAATGGTGTTTTTTTTTTTAAAAAAAAAAAAGCATCATTTTTACTTTTTATTTTGTCAGTAAATAATACAACACTGTATTTTCTGTATCCTTATATTTTGCATTACACACTTGTTTTCATCTGTTTTAAGTCATTTAGGGTGAGATTTAAACTGTTCAAATCTAACTGGTATTAATCTGAAAGTACTAACAAACACATTGTCTTGAAGCCTAGTGAAAAGCCTGCCACAAGAATTCTTTTCAATTTGTATAGATCTACTGAATCCTATTTCTGGTAGGGTGGGATTAAATTGAAGGCTGTTAATTCTGATAGCAATAACAAAATGTATGCACATATATATAAACGGTGACACTCCTTTTTATTACATAAAATGATATCACTGCACATCATTTAGACACTTACTTGATGTGCAATGCTCATCATTAGTTTTTGTAGGGGTCTTGGAAGTCAGATAGCATTGGCTAGGGTTGATTGGCCAAAAACAGCAATTGTAGAGCTTCCATTTGAAGCATGCTGGCATCATGTTTGAAATCATTGTTATTTCAGAGAATATCTTGACAAATTATACTTTAAAAATTACAAAAATCTATACAGTAGTGCAATAAATTCAAGGGATATTTCATACACACAAAGAATGTTTATATTATTATGAGCACAGGTATGCATTTTGGCCAATTCACCCATGTATGTAATTCATATCATGCAATGGAGCTTACAGAATATTTGTAACATTGTTTGACAAATGCAACAACAATTTTCCAACCCAGTATTTTGATTACTTTTGTTCTAAGGCACTGTCGCACAGGTGAAGGATGTTTATTAGTATTTGCAAACTAACTAAAATTTCATGGTCATTATTAATATAAGAGCAATTATATTTTCACTCTTTGTTCACCTACAATAATTTGGTGGCAGATTTCATTGATCTATGGGGAGATATAGTGTACTTGTTTTGATTTTTGCCATGACGATATATTCTATGGTTTATAACATGATGAGTTCCTGGGCTTATTTAATAAGATTGATAGGCATATGCTTATATCTGATAAGAACTAATATCTGAAGAGGAAAACTCCTGCATACTAATGGAATGTATAGTGTCTCATTGGTGTCTGCTTTGATATATTCTGTGGTATGTTCTATTTATCCCAGTAGGCAAAAGTTAATTAAGTAATCGGTTGCTGTTTTGTAATTCCATCTGGTTTTCTAATTTTTTAATAATTAAAACTGCCACATTAAAAATGATACAAATATAAATCTTTAGAAGGTGTGGTAAAATATTGATATTAAATGCATTTTTTATTCTTTTCACTTTATAAAGCACCTGCTTAATTGATCCAAACTGAAAAAGTATAATATAACCCCCACTGTGGTGAAGTGGGGGTTATGAAACTGTGGCTTCACTAGCATTTCCACTGGTCTTTAATTTGAAAGTACTTCAGAATATTTCATTTGTTTAAATGTTTCTTTACAGAGTCATTTATTCTAACAGTTATTTTAACTCAAACTTTGCCTCTAATTTTATGTATCTGTTATATATGAGTCATGATGACATTATCACAAGATCTCTAAAAATTATCGCTTATTTTCCATTTTCATGTTAAATGTTCCATAGTACCTAACATGTTCACTGTTATGCTTCTCATCCTGTTTCACAGAAAAAGGAAAATTTGAACTACAAGGATTCAAAGCACATTGCTAAGTAACTTAAGATGAATCAATAAATTAGATATATGTATCACACACAGAGATTGTTGAAAAATACCTTTACATTTGCAGAACTGTATTCAGACATTAAGAATACCGGAACTGTGCAAGAGTTGGAATTGTAATCTTATTCTCACATACATACATTTAATAATGAGATCTTATTTAATTGCCCGCTATGTTTTTTAGTACACCCTATGATACACTGAACATAGAGAATATGATAAGATAAACAGCTATTCCATTTATCTTTTCCCAAATTTTGTTGCATTCTTTGTTATATACTGTCCGAACTCTGCTCTAAAGACAAACTATTTTTTTATATATTTTTCCTTACCCATTATGGTTACTTGAGTACACGTACCTTAGTAACTATGGTTACTTGGTATATATATACCTTAATTAATATGTGTTCTGAGATTTCCATTAAGGAAGATAATTTTCTAGAGAATCCAGTGTGAAATTACTCTTTCTCATTTTCAACATTTTCTGCAGAAAATGACATAGGCACCTTGTCAGTAATGACAACCTTCATTGTACCATTATAATTTAGTTCATTGTCAACAAACAATGTGTATGATGGGGTTCTGGGGAAAAACGTAAGACATCATTGTATTTTGAAAAAATGTCGGAGGCAAATTTAATTTGCAAACTTTACTTTGATCAACAGAGTTGAAGTCATAAAACTCACTGCACAATCAAATAGCTGATATTTAGTTTGCCATCAAAATGTGGACAGCAATGGAAAAGGAGGTGACAAGCCAGTTTGCCAATGAGCAGGGGAAAGATTTTCTTCACAGCAGATTAATGTGGTTTCCAAAGAAGACATGAGAATATTTCTATACTCTATTAAAGCAATTCTTGAATAAGCAAAAGAAACTGTCAATGACAACATCCGTCTTTTTTATTTGCAGAGAATCTCTGCACAAGTCATTGTCGTGAGCTGGCAGTATTTCACAGAGTAGGTACGTTACTAGAGCATGCAGGGTACCTTATGGTGGTTCATGTTCCAGCTCGAAGACTCTCCGTGAAAATTTTGCTTTGAGCTCGTACATTGGCTGAAGTACTGGCTATATTGTTTTCCAACACCAGGAATAAAGCTTTGTATAAAGACAAGATTTGATACATCCCAGCTGTGTAAAGTCATAGTGCTTAAAACCATAGTATTAGTCATTAGGAGAAGAACTGGAATGGGGCACAAATTTGGTTCCGAGCGGTAATTTTGTTCTCAGGGAACAAATTGCTTCCAGTGAGGAGAAAGAGAAGAATGCACTGTTGTACAGGGTAAGATCATTGTTATTCTTATATATGCTTGCCTTCTTGCAGAGAACTACACTAAACCTGAGGCCTAAAAAATTCCAAACTGGAAGGCTATTGAGCAGTAATGTACCATTCACTCTAATTCTCATTTTTTGGACAGACACTTCAGGAATTATTAATTGCTATTACTTTTCTTTCTATATTCAATGGTAAGTTGGTTTGGGGTGGATTTGGGAGGATGTTTTGGGTTATTTTGGAGAAGAATGAAGAGAAAGGGAAAATGCAGAAGGAGAGGGAGAGTTCTCAATATTCAGAGATATTCTAGAGGCAAAGCAAGAATCCTTATGTACAGTTTTGAGATCATCAGTACAGTGTGCCAATGGCACTGAGTGAAAACAGAAGGTCTTCCTCCAGCTCTACCATTTAAAAGTCAGAAACGTCATCAGAGCTACTGTTTAGCTTCTGTCTAAACCTACAGGGGTCCACATTTCACCTGATGAAATGCATACAAAATGCAGCTTGCATGAAAGAGAAAGGGACAAATGAGATAAATTTTATCCACGATAGCTAATGGCTATTATGGCTAGAACATCGATAAAATATTCAAGTCTATGTTCAGATTTATTTTAACAGTGATTTACACAGTATCAGGATCCCTGAGCTGGCCTTTAACTATCAACTTGTTGTCAAATCTTAGGAGGTTTTCTTGACTTTTTAATTTTTTATGAATTTTTTTTGACATTTTATTTTATTTTACTTTTATTTTTTTTATGAATTAAAAGAGTTGAGGATGCAAGGTAAATTTCTGATAATTCTGGAATAGAATCTCATCCCCTGACACAGTTCTCACCTGACTAGAGAAGGGGCTCCCCTGTGCACAGTTGGTTTCTGCAGGCCCTATGCTAACTGCAGGGTTTCTCTCAGGAAGCGTTCCTCACTTTCCACTGCAATTCTATGTCTGTTACAAAACCTTTTGGCACTTATCATCTTGTCCTTTATTCTCATCTTTTGTTCTTTCTTCATCTCTTCTTTCTCATTCTTTTGCTTTCTACATTCCTCTAAGCCCTGAACTACATGCTGAAATGGCCCTTTTTAGTGGTACTCAATATAAGCCTCAATTTCTGAAATAAGCACCACCTGATTTTATTTCTGCCTGTTGATTCTGGTTAATGCAAATATCTGAATGCAGATTTTTCTGTTATTGCCGCAGGTATTTTTTTTTAAAGCAGCAAAAGGACTTTAAGAGTAGTTCTCATTATATTATTCTTAATTACACTCATTTAAGTAAACAGATATTTTTGCCCAATTAATTAATATACATGTAGACGCCTGCTTTTTTTTTTCCTCTGGGAAGATAGTGTATAGGGATATTAATTAAGCTCTTGCCAGGAAGTTTACATTATTTCCTTTGGAGCATAACTTTCTTATTTGAAGGACAAACAGGCTGGTTTTTTTACTTGCTAATGTTTCTGCAGAATATGTTTGGTTTATTAACTGCTTGGATGGCACGTTTCCTCAGGCACATGGAAGCTGTTTGCAATAAATACCACTTGAGTCTATTGGACTTTATCTGAACTGCTGTTTTTAACATTGGATCATTTTCTGAAGTTTTAATAAGCATCAACATACTTTACTTTGGGAGGTAGCCACCGATACTGTAATCTGATTGTCATGTTTAACTGCACATCAGCTATGGTGTTCCTTTACTTAAGCTTTTCTGCTTAAAGCTTTTCAGCCTGCCTTGCCTGTAAGGATATTAGAATCACACTCCCACCCTCTTTTTAGTGACAATAGGAAACTTTCCAAAGGAAGAAAATGGTGTGCCTTTTGTAGATATATGGGTATTTTCACAATGTCCTATTTCCAGAAGGTGTGCCTTTTGTAGATATATGGGTATTTTCACAATGTCCTATTTCCAGAAGAAATCCCATTCCTAGAGAAATGATTCTGGCAATCTTGACTCTAAACTAAGTGCCTCCATATAACATAAACCATGCACAGCTGTGGTTGCACCAGTATCTGGCACATAGGGTGCAATGACTTCCAGTACTCACCTGCCACTTGTGCAAACAGGCCATGAGTCAAGGAGAAGACAGAATAGGAGACACCTGGAGAGCTACAGGTGTTGACCCTTCCCTGAGAGTAAAGAGGTGGATAGTTCCCAAATTAGACTTCTTCACTGCAGAAACAAGGGAGACCTCCTGCCATCCCCTCCCTTGTCAGCACTGAAGATGAACAAAAGGTCACAGTCTCCTAAGGAGCTGGTAAGACAGGAGATGGGAAGTGTGAGCATGGTCATATATCTGTGACCAATGGTGCTCTGTAGTCATGCATCCCTTCACACTCACCCACTTCTTCCAGCTGCTGCCAATGGTGCATTTGGGGTTTCAAGTGTTTGGCCTACAAATAGTGTATGGCCTACAGCAGCAAACAATACAAGGCAAAAACAAGAAAACTCTGCTACCATGAAGATGATACAATAGTCATCTTGCACTATTTCACTCTGCATCTCCAGCAATGCCAAAGTGCATCCTGTTGTGAAGAACTGACAGACCTCCCATTCTCTTCTCACCTGAGATAAGTGTAAGCACATCAGTGGAAGATGGCAAGTGCTCAGGGCCTAATTTGGCCTGCAAGCTGCTGCCCTGAGGGAACCAGGCAAGACAGAGTCTGGTGGGAGCTGACAGGGACCATGCTGAGGAGGGAAAAAATAGTTTTCCTTAAGGAAAAGTTGAAGTCTTAGATACTTACATTTAAGCAAATTCCAAACTGTGAAATCTTACCCCATCTGCTGTAGGATTTCTCACCCTGCTCTCCCATCCCCCCTACATACACACAAACACACACTCCCTCCCTCACTCCCCCCCGCCTAGTTGTCCTTCTTACCTAAGTGACAGATAAGGCAACCGCAGTCTGCTGGTCAGCGAGCTAGGGTTTGGTACATGGCATTCTTGGCCACTCAGCTCTGCCATACTGCAGTGACTGGCTCAGGGCTCTGGGTTCCACATCTCTGACTAGGTATGAATCATTTTAAAAAACTCCTACCATCTAAGATTTTAGCTAAGGATGTAAGTTTCCCTTACTGAAGTGACTTTGATATCTAAAGTTGCTTAACATATATTTATGGGTTATCCTACACAGCTGAGACCTTGAAAGCCAGAACAAGGAAGAGCATCCAGTTTATATTTTACACTTGCCAAAGGCAGTGGTCGCAGCAGAGAGCTCAGCAGCCACTTCCACCTCCACTCTGCTAACAGTGGTGTCTGACCCCTCTTAGAGACTAAACCTAGCAATTAGATCATTTGACTATGAGGTGATAGATGCAGCTCTCAGCCTGGGATATATGAGAAGCCTCATTTCCTCAGAGGGCACCCTGACAAATGGCATACACATTAATCTTCCCCACTCCCTTCCTAGAGAAGCTGCCCCTCTGCCCTGGCACAACACAGATGCAAGATGTTTTGGCCCGAAAAATGCAAGTGTGGGAATAGGTTAGTGAATGCCCAACTGTTACAGGTGTGTGTCGAGGGACAAAAGGTTTGTACTGAGTCCTGAATGTTGCTGTATGTTTCATCTGAAGAAGCAGGAAGCAATTTCATGTTGTTGCTCTTCAATTAGGGATAATGGATTCACAAAATATGCAAGATACAGATTTCCATACACACGCTGCTATTTTACTAGCAACACCTTAGGCTTAAATCACCCTTGCCTTGGATGTCATTTTTCCTCAGCCCCTTCCTCAGGAATTTAGTCCTCTGATATATAGATTTTCATGGGA